CAGTTAGTTAGGCATATCAATACCAAAGGTGAACGAGATACTACCTGTTAAACGCGGTTGTAGAGGCGATATAGAGCAACCCAAATAGACAGACAATACAGACACAAAGCAGATGCGCATGGAGTGGTACATGTGAAGTAGGGTGAACTTGTGACCAGAGATGTGAGAAAGGAAGTCCCTGGTCACGAGAGAATGCCCAACAAAGCCGAGCTTGGTAAGCTTGCTGGGGGAGGAGTGAGAAGAAATAGGTCACTGTGACGATAGAAAGAGTAGCGAGAGCGGCGGAGTCACTTCGAAAGGCAATGCGGAAAAGCTCTACAAGTGGCACTCCGGTTGGTGTGTTAATAACAGCGGTAAGATCCGTGAGAGTGTACATCAACATGCAAGCAAAAGGAAAACTGGTAATAAATCCGATCACCACTGTAAATAGAATAGCCTTTGGGACGTTCCGTGCTGGATCAGGGGTCTCTTCAGCCAGGTGAGTAGCGCTGTCAAGAGCAGCAAAGGCAAAGTTGGGATTGATCAAGCCAACTATAAATGCCATAGCATTAGAGGACCAGCCACTATTGTTCTGTAGCGAGGCAAAGATAAACTTTATCCCAGTATGATCATGCGAAGCTGTGGGTAATGCAATCGTGATAGATATGCAGACAAGCAAGCTAAGCCACAGGCCGATGGAAATGCTACGCGAGACAACCTGCTGCCACAGGTTGACTATAGCCGCTATTATATTCAATCCCACTGCTCCTAAATAGATTCGCCATGCATTCACCGCACTGTGAATTGAGAGACTTGGTGTTAGCTGTGGCTTGAGAAACGAGGGCAGTAAAAGAGCTGTACGTACAGGTCAGGGTATGCGAGCTTCGCACTACCAAAAACCCAGGAACTCACGGCAATTGAAGAGCTTGCAGTGACACAGTAGGCGGCAAAGAGATTGCAAATGCCAGTCATATAAGACAAACCGCGTGCGTATCGCTTAGGGGCTAAACACATTACCCAATAGTATTGACCGCCAGAATTTGGCATTGCGCTGATCAACTCACTAAGGGCAATGCCAACGAACAAGTTGACCGTGAACATCAGTAGTAGACCGTAGATTATGCTAGCCGACCCTGCCGCTGTGATCCCTGTTGTGAAGGCGCCAGCTACTCCCAGCCAGGAATTGGTGACCGTGTACGCCGAGCCAATCAGTTGCAAGGAACTGAACTTTCGTCGGCCTCGAGTACTGCCAATATCTGTGCAATGGAGTCCAGATCCGTCAGATACAATGTTAAGTTATAGGTGATTGTGGTACTAACGTTGCATATCGAAGGAATCTCCAGTGGAAACATCCTCGGCCTGTGCTGTTTCTTCTTTCTCCTTGTTTTCCATCATTTGGGGCATGGCGCAATTAGAATTTGCTGGGCGTCTCATCAGGATACCACTTTGACAGTAGTTGAGGGTAGTTGACGGGAGTTGACTATAATAGAAGTAAAAGTGAACTCTATTGTAGTCAAGTATGACCCGGCGGTTGCTGATAAGCTTTCGCTTCGGGAGGAGGGTGAAATTTTGTATATAAAATTGTACAGGGATAGACACTACCTATTGAGAACATTTCGAGCACGTACTCCCTACCGAGAGCGCTATTCTGCCACTGCTCACCTCGTAGAACATGCTCATCAGCAGCTGTATTACCAATAACAATACGTGATAGTGACTGTTCAACATCCAGATCGCGGAACGGGGGCTAGGATAGCCGGGAGGAGTTGATTGGCTGTGGCGAGATAAACGTTCGGGTGCGATAAACGCTCGGGTAATGGCTGAGATTGGTATGCGACTAGGGTGCTCTATCATAACCCCGCACCCGCAGCCCGTTTTTTCTATTTGGGTCCAAGTCCAGGTATTTGTCTGCTCCCCCGGCACCCCAATGAGTGCCCAGGTGGGTTCTGGTATCTCCCGAGGTTTCGGTATACGGAGGACTAACATCTAGATGTTTCCTGTTTATTTTCCTGTTTTTTTCTGATTTTCTTTCTTTTTTTTTCAAGTCTCCACTTTTTATTCCCAAGGTTATCACAATCTCCCCCGCGTGTGCGGGGGACTATCAATCTAAACCCCTTTGGGACAAGATAAGACAAACGCCTGGATATTCGGGTCATCAACCTCCTTGCTATCTTCTTGGACTTTTTCACCTTCCTAATCCCTTGCTCTTCTTCCTGTCCTTTATCTTCTGCTCTTTCTTCTGATCGTTCTGATGGCTTCCTTTCGAGTGCGATTCGCGCCCCAGCGGGCCTATCACCCGGACCAGAATAAGACAAACACAGCCGTACCCGATAAATCCGAGTCCAAGCCAACGCATACTCGCACCCGATCAGGTTGTCGAGGATGCCGCCAAAGGCGTGTCAAGTGCGATGAGACTTTTCCAGTTTGCTTGCGATGTCGTCGCCGAGGCTCTATCTGTCAACCCGTCCTTCCAGCCTCTCAATGGCAGCCGGAGGTCTGGTGTCCAGGCACAGCGAATCCCCTGTCTCAGCTTACCCAGCCAATAAACTCCGATGCACGTGTGAACTTTCGCCTGCTTCAGTACTGGTTTGAGCGCATGTCTCAAATCATGAGTCTTGACCGTGATCGAAATCCGATGTCTTTTCCCATTGTCAAATATTTGTCTGCCTCGAGTTCGCTCGTCTATATCATCCAATGCGTGAGTGCCGCTCATGAACAACACTTCCAGCCCTCTCAAATGACTGTCAGTCTAGAGGAGCGGAGCAAGGCTTTACGGAATCTTCGCCAGGAACTGCAGTCCCAGAGCTCAGGCTCGCCTCTCTGTTTCCTCATTATCCTCATGCTGGGTATGTCGTCCTCTTGGATCACTACTCAGCCCACAGACTATGGGCGAGAGCATCTACTAGCCGCCCAGGCTTCCGTCGACATGACCTTGGAGCAACAGGCCACAGTAGATGATGATTTGGTGCATCTCTCAATGGGTTTTTATGTTTATTGGGATATGGCCTGTTCCTTTTGTCTGGACATAGCAGATCACCCCCAGCCCTCTCGAAGTCGGCTGGCTGACTATGTTACGGCCGCACGGTCGCGCTTTCATACCATCACATCTCACTCCATCGATCTCTACTTTTTACTCGGGCAAATCGGCCGATATTGTCGTTCAATTACCGACGGTATGCCACGAGACTTTGTCCGCGAGACGACCTTCGAGGCCGAACTGAATTCCTACTCTTCGGCTGAAGAGAACCCATTTGCATACCTGCTGGCCGATGCCTTCCGCAACCACGGCCTTCTCATGCTGTATCGTCTATGTGGCCGGACAGTTCATTTTGCGTTGGAGGCTGAAATTGACAATGATGAAGCGGATATGGAATGTCCAATCCGAGCGCTGGCGTTAAGGACTCTTGAAATGTTGTTTATAACCCCGATTGACTCGCCATATGTAAACTTGCACACACTCCCATTGCTAAGTGCGGGGGCTGAACTAGGATCGATGGATACTGAGCTGCGGGACCGGGTAATAGAGCAGCTTCAGGCTGTCTACTCCACGAACCGCATCCCACCAACGCTGTGGGTAATTGAACTGCTCCAAGAGTTGTGGAATTTACACGACTCTGGTATTGAAATGACCTGGCTAGACCTTATGCTGGCCAAGCAGTGGCGCCTACGAATTGGCTAGGTAAACTTCTTACAACATACCACCTCGGACATTCAAACCCTCCAAAGTTGCTCAAAATGGCCAATATATCGACAGATAAAGATTTCGCTTGTTTGCTAGAAATACTGGTCTGCAATTCATACCAGCGTGACCTTGTCCTCGAGATCCATGAAGACGGCAACGTTGGCAAAGTCTTCGCTACACTCAAACGTGATTGTCTGGCCCTTTTTCATCACCATCAGATCACCCTTGCTGAGTGTAAAGAACTCGCCGCCGTGCACTTCAATTTGGATAGTTCCTTGAGTGACGAAAAGGAATTCATCAACTGGCCAAACTAGTGTATCTTTCCCCTTTTCACGCAACATCCCCACGACCACCTTGCCGTCAGCGGACCTGTAGATGATTGACTTGGTTCCTGCATACATGGGGAACGGTTGCTCGGCGAAAGATTCCCAGGAGCCGTAGGGGACGGTATTGGGTTCTGAAGAACCGGTTTCGTTTCCTTGACCGCGCGGCATGATGCGAATGCTGGTTCCGGGTTGTCCTTGGAAGGTCCTGAATTCCTCGTTAGCAAGAGTTCACTAGTATAGAGTTTCGGGTCATTCCGCACCGAGTAACAATGAGCCAACAGTTGGTAGAATGAAAATGATTCCCGAGGAAAGATGTTCCATTATATGTAAACCTTGCAAGGTTGGGATATGACCAGGCTTCGTCAGCACCACTCCAATTGATCAGTGTCCCATTTTCCGAGTTCGCTTTGAATTCAGATTAGGAAATGAACAACTACCTATGCTACATGTTGAGCCACCAAGCGTGCTTGGTATTCTGCTTATCTACCCATGCCGTCCGGGCGACGGATACTAACTCAAGGCACATTCCTAACAAATACACTAAGCGACTATTCCACCCATACCCTAAATAGGATCTTTTGCCAGGAATACGCCGCGCCGGTCAAAATAAAACAGTAGATCCACTCAGCCCGCTTGTGTTCCCGATGCAGTAAGCAACAGATGTATGAGAAGCACTTGTGTCCCCGCTCGCGCTACTGTCTCAACCCACCTACCGCAAGAACAAAATAACCGGAGCTGAGAGTGAGGCTATCACCATTTGTTTTTTCGGACTACCTAATTCATGTTTCGGAAAGACGATCAGAACGCTCTATGAAATTGGTGAAAAGGTAGGTAACTATTACTCCACAATCCGGAGACCGTCCACCTCAAGTGGGTCTCTCCTTATTCTTGAAGGTCTACTCCACGATCAAAGGTGCGACTTCCTCTGATAAAACCCACCCTTGCACCCGACGAGGCCTTTTCTAACTCTCGAATACTTCATTCTCTCTACACAACACGAAGCTTTGCGCAAAATGTCGAAAATAACAATCTTGGGGGCCGGGTATGATCTACTGCCTCGCTATGGCTGAAAATACGCTAATGAATATGCCATTAGAATTACCGGTATGGGAATTGCAAGTCAATTGCCCAAGAACACCGAGATTACAATCCTAGGTGACTTTTTGCCTGGCGATGCAATGGACCAGCGTTATGTCAGTCAGTGGGCAGGCGCCATCTGGTTAGGCGTTCACGATTCTACTCCGTGGGAGCAGGAGATGCAGTTGAACTCCTTTTCCGAGCTCTGGCGAATTGCAGAGCGACACCCTGAATCTGGCATTCGCCAGATTGAAATGACCGAGATAATGGATATTGGAGATCCAGCAGAAGTATGGTATCAAGGGAAAGTTCCTGGCTTCCGCTTCCTGCCTCCTTCGGAACTCCCTAAAGGTGCTAAATTTGGCATGGTGTTCCAGACTCTAGTCATTACACCTCCTACGTTCCTTCCTTGGTTCCGACAGCACTTGGAGAAGCAGGGCGTGAAGTTCCAGCGTACCTATGTCAAATCCTTGCGGGATTTGAGAGGAATGGGACACGACGTTCTGATCAACGCCACTGGGTTCGGTGCTATGAAGCTGCTTGATGTTGAGGAGAAGCGCATCACACCCGTGCGACAGCAGAATATCAGACTCCGCAAGGATGGTTACAACCGGTGTTATATCCGCCGTGGCCCAGACGGATACTATTCCACGGCGTTCGCACGTGGAGATGGAACGATCTATATGGGCGGTGTTAAAACCCTCGGTGACGTCGATTTCACTTCCTATGAAGATCAACGCAAGAAGGTTGGGCTTGCCTCTTTGATTGTGGTCTAAGTTTGAGTACTTACTAGATGAAATCTTTAGATTATGCAACGTCAGCACGATAATCAGCCAGATGTATTCCCTTCACCTAACCCCCTCGACTACGACTTTATTACGGACCATGTGGGAGTGTTTCCCGTTATTGAACATCAAAACGGTGGCGTTCGGGTGGAGAAGCAAGTCCTTCATGGGCAGAAGGTTATACATGCGTATGGACAGGAAGCTGGTGGCTTTACATTCAGCTTTGGACTTGGCCAGCAGGTGTCGAAATACGTACAGGAATATTTGACCGAGCTCCCGAAGCCTGCAGAAACGCCTATTCCTAGTAAGTTATGAATTTTCATTTCTTGAATAGAGAACCTGTGGGATGTACTTTTTTGACTATAAGAATGAACTCGAAATCTTGAAGTGTTGCCTCAATTTGTAAACAAGTTGAATGATCAGTCTCGGTGTCTCACATGTAAGAGGAAATTCTTCTCCCTCTCCTCATGCAAACTAGAGCTGGTATATATCCCTGTAAAATAATTCAAAATCCGGAAATTTATCATGGTACACTGATTAATTCAATATGAACGTTTGCGGGTTTTCTCGCACAGAGAGGCCATGCGGCAATTAAGACGAGGGGCTGTAATACGCGCGTGCAGCTGATCTCCTGTCTTGCTGGATATCGCGGTGGATTGATGAAATTAGATACCATCGGTCACGTTAATACTGTAGGACTATGTCCACATGTTGTTTGTAATCATGTTCCTTGATTAACTATAGTATACTAAGACAATAATTTGCTATGATATCAAGACTTCTTGTGTGTTATATAGTAGACTTACAGACTCCGAAGTCATGCCATACAAAACGGGATTTTGTTCTTTGCTTGGGTGCCCTGTCCGTATTGTGCATGGAGACACGATTGAGCATTTACATTCAAACTAACTCGACGTTTCACATAACTCGTTCGACTGAGGCTCATTGTTGTGGGTTTTAAACTGGTATCGCGCTCGCGAGAACCAATCAATCAATCCATATACTAGAGCTATGCCATAGATAACCGTGACATAATTCATGTCTTGAAAATAATGGTCAGTTTAGTGTATTTGAAAGGGTTAAGTAGTGGAAGACGTACTTGATGGGGTGACGGGCATCATATATGGGAACGAATACATGACGACCGTGAAAATACAGAAGACCACCGTTATGATTTTGGAAATCACGCCTATAATTCCGAGGTGGAACGGCCCACGTGGTTGATTCTTGCCTCTCCAAATTGAGCAGATCATTGGGGCCAGATATGTCAGATATGGGAATACAATGACGCCAGTTATTAGACTATAGAATCAGTTAGCGTTCGGTTCTAAAATCAAGCAAAATCGGTTCGAAGTCTTACCTATTGAAAGCAGTGCTAGACGCAATGTAAATGAGCCCAATTGCAAAAACTATACACACAGAAAGTGCGTGAGCTCGGAGTGGAACATGTGTTGAAGGATCAATATGCGACCAGTATCTTGAAAACGGCATCCCGTTGTCCCGAGAGAAAGCCCAACACATTCGAGCTTGGTAGGCATGTTGCGGAAAGAGGGAACAAAGGTAAGATATGGTCACAAATGCCATGGTTGCTAATGCGGCTGACTGGCGGTGTCCATATGCAACGTAGAAAAGCTGAAGAATGGGAACATTTGTCGGAGTATTGATCACACTCTCGAAGTCCGTTAGGCAGTACATCAAGACACACGCGAACGGAAACGCAGTCATGAATCCTATAATGACTGTCATCATGATCGCTTTAGGCACATTTCGTGCAGGGTTTGGTGTTTCCTCCGCGAGATGTGCCGCACTATCAAGCACTCCGAATGAGAAGTTAGCGTTGATCAAACCCATGATAAATGCCATGCCATCAGAAGACCAGCCATTGCTTCGATTTAAGGTGCCGAATATGAATACGGCATCAGTGTGACCAACCGCAGTTGCAGGAAGGACAATTGTGATAAGAACGCAGGTCAGGAGACTGATGTAAAGTCCCACAAGGACGCTCTTAGTGACAGCCTTTTCCCATATGTTCACCAATCCGGCGACAAGGTTAAGGGCAACAGCTCCAAGATAAACACGCCACGCCGAAAGTGCGCTAGAAATTTCGTTAGACTATGATTGCGAGGTCTGAGGGCATCGTATTTTGCGGGGAAAATAAAGAAGCCAAATCTCACAATTCCGGTACGGCCAGTTTAACGGACCCAAAGACAAACATGCTGACAGCGATTGATGAACTCGCTGTCGTGCAATAGGCGGCGAATAGATTGCAGACGCCTGTAATATAGGCAAATGGCCGGGCATATTTGCGTGGTGCCAGTCTCATTGCCCAATAGTATTGCCCTCCCGAATTGGGCATCGCGCTGACCAGTTCACTCAACGAGATTCCAACAAAGAGGTTGAGGATAAACATCAGGATCAGACCGTAAATGATTCCAGCAGAGCCCGCTGCGGTGATCCCCGTGGTAAACGCTCCAGCCACCCCCAACCATGAGTTTGTCAGAGTATATGCGCTGCCAATCAACTGTATCAGACTAAATTCTCGTTCCATCTGAGGCACGTAACCCATCTCTAGTAGGTGATGTTAGTGTAGTGCCTGATTTGAAAAATGTTCTATTCTGCCAGAATGAAGGGGATTGGGCATACGCTCAAGGTCAAGGTCATCCATGGTGCCAGCTATCGGTTCGGGGTCTGCTACTCCATTCTTCCCGTCAATCATGGACGAGTCATCGGCAATCCTTTTCTCTGGGTTAAGAGGGACAGGGTTGGCCATGTTGTCGTTGTGTGTTATTTAACGTAGGTTATGGAAGTCTGTCAAGAGAAAGTTATATCGGCTTAGTCGACAGACGATAACTGCGACAGGGATTTCACAGGTTAGGAATGCTTCCTTTCGCTCTGGCTGGTGGCATGAAATTTTCCAACGTATGCGAAAACAATCAGTGGGACCTTGTGAATTGGACTTCATATGTAGGACAAAACCAAGCCTACATATATATAACATAATGCATGCACGTACCAACTCACAGGATGCGAATGTAAAGGAAGAACAAGTTTTGCACATCCCAGGGCCCGGTGGTTTGCGGGGGAGGCGAACCTAAAAGTTTCGCAAAGAAAAGACGAAACAAATCTCGCTTCCATTCCCAATATGGAATACGTGAAGCCCAAAACGGTAAACGAGAACTACTGATAAGGCTACAGAGATTAATAGCGCTAGCAAACTATGATGTGAACAATATTTCCAGTAATGCCGGAACCCGTGTCGATGCCCAAAACGGCAACTTTTGAGTAAGGGCTAGGAGGTTTCTGACACTCTTGTTGGCTAAATATCCCGATTGTGGAGTGAATGGTGTTGTTATCACTACCTAGGTCATAGCCTTTCTCGACTCGACCATTGGTAACCTTGGTCGGCCATGACGCCGCTCGCGTTATAGACCATCAGACGACTCCGCACGTTACCATGCTAGCTGGAGATAAGGTGAGAATAGACTGTCAATTATAAAGGAGTGTCTTACACTTTAAATGTGTACCTCTGAAGGATGCTACCGTACTTGGGTAATCAAAGTATAGCACAGGCTGTCGGAAATAGGGGAATCAGTTTACGTGTTGTAGGGCAACTCCCTGGGACGTTGCATGGCTGCTGCATGCGAAGCCCCACACAAAGGGGCTTATTAAAAAAGGCACCATAGCTTGTTAAGACCCAAAGTGGACAGGGAGAGGAAGAGGAAGATGTTGTTGGGTGGTTGGGAAGGTGCGATCTCATTAGCTACAGATGCTAACAACGTATATGCCTCAGGCCACCCAGGAAAAGCGAATATGTTGTAGAAGAACATTAAAGAAACAGGGCTACCTACAGTATCTTCTGCTGGATTCCGATTCGAAAACACCATAATTGCATCATGAGATCCCTGACTAACCTAAACTTGTGCGACTACGGGATCTACCACGTCTCGGGTCGCGCAGGCGCAGTGGATAGTCTCATCCAATCTCTCCTCTTTATCCCATACTCTGTACTTGACATTTGAATAAAATGCACTCTTTTCTCTGAAAAGAGCTGGTTGGTAACGTCTGCCATTGATTCGTATCTAAACCATGCGAATATTACCAACTAGAAAGCCAAGTACTCGGATCGAAAGTATTTTATGGAGCCTCGACAGAACTGTATTACATGTTTCGACATGCCTCAAAAAGTGGAGACGTCGCCACGCGCCTTTACTTTCAGCAAAGATGCTTCACCCTGGGGCCGGGCCTAACTGATGACACAACTATGCACGTGCTTTAAACTTCTTATCCTCGTACAACTTGAACATTGATATCGCGATGTGGGCTAATAGTAGGTAGTATGGACTTAAATATTCCTATAGCTGAAGACCTGCCCAATGTTAAGGTACTCGGTTTGTTCTCCCATCCGCCAAAAAGCTTTCCACGTCACGTCCATGCACGCCAGCTAAAATTCCAGTGTTCCACTGTAAAGTTCTCTCGGACGGGCTTTTGCCACAATTCGTAAAGCCCACCAGTCTTAAAACCCCAGAAACGCCACTCTCAACCGCATTCGTATCGATAATATCACGCAAAACGTCGGTCAATGTGATATTCCGCAGACTCCAGCTCGGGTCATGCCTTTTCAGCAAAGCAAAAAGCTCACGGGGTGTCAATGTTTGGCCACTCAGATGGGTAAAGTCGCTCCATGGGATATCGTGTGCTTGCAGGAGTGCGAGAGTGGCCTGGGCGGTATCACGCGCGGAGGTTAAGGTGATCTCTTGCATCCCGTCCCCATACAAATCAAAGACCTTCGTTGTATGGTTCATGAGCCATTCGTTCCCAATGTCCTTCAAAAATCGATTTGAGGCAGGGAGAATATAGTCCATAAACCAGTAGTTGCACATGAACGACCATTTCACTTCGCTCTGAGCACGCAAGGCCTTGAGAACTGCGTTTCGTGACTTTGAAAGATATAGAGGCTGATCAGGAAAGTCTTCCATGTTTATTGTCCATCCTGATGGTATGAACCGCTTGCACCTAGGGGATTGTATACAGGCTTCCAGAATCGCCAGGTGAGAAGCAACATATGCTTCGTTCGGTCCGGCAAGGGTTGAAACAATAGCATCACAGTCTTGGATATTGTGTTTCAAGTTGTCGACGGTGTAGTCTGTCGTTCTTATCTCAATATTTGACATGGAAGGATTTCTCTCCAAAGACCTGCTCAGGACAACAGTCTCATGCGGGGATTGACTGAACTCTTCAATGAAGTAAGCCGCAACATCACCGGCACCTGCAATTGCGATCTTCATTTTGGAATAGTCAACGTTGATCGAGTACAAGTTTGGGGGATATATCAAACAGGCAAGAATAAACGCTGCCGGTAATAATGCAATTGTGAGAATTATTCGAGGCTTTATATGCATGCACCTTCAATACCGCGGAGGTATGGGGAAAACGTTAGTGAAGTCTGATCTCGTACTAGTGGTAACTATCACCAAAGAACCATGATAACTAGAACATAAGTATTGCTAATATCCAATTGTGGAGCACTAGGGGACTTTCTTTGGCAGGATAATGACGTTACAGTCTTCTTCGGAGTTCTGAGTAGAAATTCCTCTTTGGGAGTGTTGTCAATTCCTTATCGCGTTCTGGTTGTCTTTCCCGAAGTAATAATCAGATGGTGCTAAACAAAATGACGATAACTTCACTTTTAGGTACATTCTTTTCTTAATCAAGGTAGTTAGGTGGTTTTTTAGGCCGCTAATTAGGGACACGAGTGTTAATTATCGTGTTATCAATATAAGCGGGCCTGAGTGGAGCTATGATTTGGTTTTAGCCCGCGTGGCGTGTTCCTCGGTAAATGTTCTATTCGGGTTATTGATTAAATTACCGCTTACTATCTTTATTAGGAATGTGCCTAGGCTTACTATCATTCGCCAGGATGGCTGCTTTAATGAGATAGGTACAAAACCTAAGCCCTGCAGGTCCCTTGATGAGCTTGGCAGGCAGTGTACAACATACGGAGTATGTTGTAGGTAATTGAGCACGAGTGGGGACACGAGTGTCTCATATTATGAAACACAATCAACAAATAGCCGTGCCAAGCCCAATACACCTGCCGGTGTTGGTGCGTGCGAACGGTCAGGGGTCGGAAACTAATTATTACTAATATGGCTGCCTTAAATGCCTGGAAGATGCTTAATTAGATACCGCCTTTTGGCACCGCTCTTACAATGTATTGTAATGTATTGTAAATGAAGCTCTCAAATGGAAGCCTCCCGCGTAATATTGAAGCTATTCCCACCACACAGATCTTTAAAATCTTCCCTTTCTAGGCGTTGAAGCCTCTCATACCATATTCTCGACAATTTCAAAACCCCCAATTTGTATGGGTGCGAATAGCGTCACATTTGACTCACATTTGTGCTCAGTTCTTAAGGTATGAATATTGTCGACGTTGGAATAAGGGCTCTGTTGGCAATTCAGGTATTTTCTGCCAGCAAACATTCGAGCATCTTTAGGCATCAATATTAGTAATACGTAGTTTCCGTAGGTGCGCCCTACCAGACTCTCCTGATTATGTCTTTTCAATTATTAATTCACCTATGAAAAGAATTATAGATAATAACTATAACTATCTTTATACCAATTTCTACTATTACTATCTTTTACCACCATTGAAGTTTTTCAATAATTCATCACAAATCTTGTTCTGCTCGGAGCATTGTCTATTATACTTCCTACTTATCTAGGCTTCGAGTCAACGATTGACCACTCTCACCATCGATCTCCAAATAATTCCTGGATGATATATTTGAACCGAGAAGAGACCCTCTCTTACTGCGACGAGTCCCTTGCATTTCGAATTCGGGCCCATTTGCTGATCTCTTTTGAAGTCCCTGCCAAGACGGCCCAGTCGATCCCGGTTCTGATGCGGCGTTCTTGGACCGTTCCCTGTGGCCCTTCAGTAGTCCGTATAGGACGGGAGCGTTGGCTACGATAGCAGCAGCGAGTAACTCAACGGATGCCCAAGTCGTTCTGTTCACTTGGGCGGTAGGATTTCTGGCGTTTTGAGGTAATCTCGCGATAGTGATTGCGACGATGAATAGGCCGATGGAGAAGAGGATCGCTAGCTGGAATTTTCTAGAGGTAATATGTCAATAAGATGCATATAGATAAGTAGGTCGGGTCAAGCTTACTGCATAGCGGATCGTTTAACCAGGACCAGAATTGGAATCGGCAACGCGATAAGCATGATATCCGTGATGACATTCAGGACACCTGAGACTACAATGTTAGAGGCATCACTTTCAAACGGGTTCCAAGAAAGCATACCGAGGACGATCAATTCGAGCTGTGCCTGGCAGCATGTACCTGCATTGTATTAGAAGGTTCAACGAAGATGAAAAATAAGGGAAGGGAATACCAGGATCCGGCAATACGATCCAGTAATGATTGAAGGGATCGCATTCGGTGAAAGTCACAATCTGTACGATAGCATATGTCGCTGCGAATATACCGATATACGAGATCATCGTGACCTTCTCCCAGGGAAGGTGCTTGAGCAGTCTGCGGTAGGTATCGAGCAGAACGAACTTTTGCAACCAGAGACTAGAAGAATTATAAGAAAAGGAAATAGCAAAACTATGATTTAACCTCAGAACCTACTAGGAATTATAAAATACTCGATTAGCGAGTACCAATTTGCTCGCGATCTCTCTGCGGCGGATGTCCTCGGGAGTGAAATTGGTCGTATGTCTGAGCTTGGATGACATATTGTTTGTTCCCCAGATGAGAATAACGTGGATCAAGCCGAGGCGTACGAGAGCACAGAGAATTGCGCCCATTGAGAGATAATCGCCCAAGACGAACTGGAATCCTTTCAACTTCCGTACCAGCAGCCGAAGGACTACCAAGGCGACTGTCACCCAGGTAAACACCCAAAGAATGATGAGGGTGTAATCCATGGCTTTTTGGTATATTTAGGAAGCCTAAGGAGGAAGGAGGGAAAAAAAAAAAAAAGACAGAGACAGAACAAGAGACGGGGGCGAACTATATCAAAAAGTGATGATTTTTTTTCAGCCATTGGTCGTATTCCAAGGTTTCATCATATTAATTTTAGACAATTAAAAGAACCTTGGAAGAGATTGGAAGAGGCGCAAGTGAACTTTGAAATTTCACTAGGCAAAGTATATGGGTACGAAGACTTATAGTGGCCAGGGTTCAAAACCCCCTTTATAGATTATTTGATGCCTGAATGCTTGACTCTGGAACGGCAGAAAAATCAAAATACCTGAATTTCTATTACAAAAGCCTTAGTAATCATAGTACCCTTAATTCTCTTAACTATGGTTTGCAAGTTCCAAGAATGAAGCCTTTCATCCGCATACATATGTACAAAGTGAGCTACAACATATAGTATCAATAAATTTACCATACACTGTATAGTGTTAGATAAGGCACTAAGGCATCAACTCCCACCTAGAGGGGTTTTGAACACTGGCCACTATAAATCTTAGTGATATACGGATCATTTCTCCACTTTTTGGCCCCCCCCGGGCCACATTATATTTCCAGAGATCGTTCCCTATGAGGCCAATCGAGATTGAATCCTTGGAACCCATCGCCATCGGTGGAACTTCGGAAAAACCATCTTAGCATCCGGAGAATAAATTCAACCCCTGATAAACCTTATGCTTGTTTTGTTCACTCCCTATCCTCTCAAGATGCATCTAAAGACAGGATTATTTTTGATCTGCGCAATTGTCGCAGCTTCAGGCTGGTGCGGGGAAGTGCCAGCCCAGCGATCATACATGTATGTTGGAGGACAATATATCCTGAATAGTGCTGGCCAACATGTCTTCGCGGATCAGATGTACGTGGAAAAACTTACTCCAGCCACGGGTGTGACCAAACCATATCCAATTGTCTTCATCCATGGACAAGCTCAAACAGGCACCGTACGTATCATTGAAGAACCCCTCCTCCCCTTTACCAGAAGTTAACCGTGATACAGAATTGGCTCAACAAGCCTGACGGAGGAGAAGGCTGGGCCTCTTACTTCCTTTCTGAAGGATATGCATGCTACATTATCGATCAAACCTTCCGCGGCCGCAGTGCCTGGTTCCCTGGAAATGGGACAATGAGCACCTACAGTGCCGAGCTATTGCAGCAGCGCTTCACCGCACCGAAGTTATACAACCTCTGGCCACAGGCGGCCCTACACACCCAATGGAACGGGACAGGCATCATGGGCGACCGAAATTTCGACACATACTATTCCTCGACAGTCGAGTTCCTCAGTTCAGCAACCTACCAGCAATCGACCGTGCAGGCCGCCGGCGCCGCCCTACTCGACACCATCGGATCCCCCGTCATCCTCCTCTCTCACTCCCAGGGCGGAGCCATGCCGCTGCTGATTGCAGATGTGCGACCGGAACTCGTCCACTCCATCGTCTCGGTCGAGCCGACCGGCCCTCCCTTCCAGGACGCCGTATTCAGTAACTCTTCCACGCGCGCCTACGGACTTACCGATATTCCTATAACCTACTCGCCCGCCGTGAGCGATCCAATTGACCTCGTGAAACACGTCATCCCTTCGAACTCGTCGTCGTACTCCGACTGTGTAATTCAGGCCGATTCCCCCGCACCGAGACAGCTTGTCAATCTCGCCAAGGTGCCCACCCTGGTCCTGACGACTGAATCGTCTTACCATGCGCCGTATGACTGGTGCACGGTCCGGTTCCTGAAACAGGCCGGCGTTCCCGCGCAACATCTCCAGCTGGCAGATATCGGTATTCATGGAAATGGGCATATGGTGTTCATGGAGAAAAACAGTTTGCAAGTTGCTGCTGTTCTACAGCGGTGGATGGAGCGGATGTAATTTGTAAGATATGAAACTTTGTTTGTTTGGACACGAATGAACTTGTCTACCTTTTCAGTTAAGCTTCATCAGACAGAGTCCGAACCTCCTATTGTGACTTTGGAAAAGTAAGCCAATAAGAATATTCGCAAATCCCCCTTTATTAAGGCAACGCCCGTATTATCTTACCGGGTTGACAGGCCGTACACGTGAAACAAGTATACCTTTGCAGGAAGCGCCTTTATAAGGCTTAGACTTCGGCAGAACCAATTTTGGGTCTGAGCATCCGACCTAAACCCCAATGGGTTAAACCACATAACCTAGTAATAACCTATTCGAATCTATTTTTATTTTATTGGGCGAAGCGAAGCAAATAACTGATTTCTAAATTCCTTACTACTATGCCAAAATACTCGGTTATTGGATTGGAGGATCTCGCCTCTGATTAGTCGATAAATGCGGATATAACGTAATCAGGGTAGGGCTTGTCACGTGACCTCACTTTGAAATATATGCTTTTCCTATTTATGCCTGAGGCATTAATATGGTGGCCTAAGGCCACGATCGCAACAACTTTTCCTTTTCCTAACGCTTTAGTGTTGGTTGCGTCGACCCGCGAACCTCATTGAACTTTGACCCTACATCGACGTAGTATTTTCAACTTGTGAAGATTTTTAATTGTTCTTGTACTTGTAAGTTTTGTTACTGTAACTCCTGCAATATTTTGTCCCGTTGGCTTCCAGAGGATTTTAGCGAATGTGGAAGAAGGATCGTGTTTTAAATATATATCTCCAGGTCACATAGCCACGCTTTCACTACGGTTACACGGGAATTTAACGGCCCTTGATGGGTGGCCAGATAGGGTAAAGTCGGCAAAGGTTATAAACTTGAATAATTGGATCTGACCTTAAACACCGTGAGGCCTGATCAACTTCCCCGACCAACTTCTTGATCACCATTCTCTTGATCACCATTCCTATAATCAAGTGGACTTGGAAAACAGTCAAATTCTAGTCGAAATTTGACTTCGTCAATTGGCTGTTGCGGTAATCTTGAAACCGAATACATAGACATAGCTGTTACCTGCGTCGCATAGCCTATAAGAGACACCGAGGATTGATGGGACCGCATTGCCCGGATCCTTGACATTTTCTTGTGGACCAAATAATTCTCTCAAACGGATCGTCTATCCAGGAAAAAGAAGGAGATCAGCAGCCCAATGAATTGTCGATTTCTCTACTATTGAGAGTCACACAATATGCATTTCTGCCAGTACTCCCCCAAGGAAAATCTTCACGTAGTTGGCTTTCTACAATAGTTCAGGGTTGTATCGCACCCCGTTCGCGCTATTTACGCTCGATCCTCGCCCGATGTAACAGAGGCTGACGTAGGTACGTGACTGTTCATAAGTTTAAAAATGGGTAAAAATCAATCTAAGCAAGAGAAAATGATTTCATGCAACTATGTATCATGTTTGATGCCATAAAGAAACATATCGCATGCAAAAGATATATCTACAAATCAAGATCATCACTGCGAGACACACCCTTAGGGTCTAGTGCAGGTGCCTCACCGACAGCAACCACACGAAGGCAAACCCGAGGCTCATCGTAATCGTAAGTAGCAGTATGGTAGACAGCACGATTATCAAACACGGCCAGATCATCGACCTCCCACTTGATACGGGCCTAAAGATAATGAAGTCAGATATCGTCACATGAAGTATGCTGGGATTCGCGGAATACTTACCTGAAGATCATGATTGTCGGTAATCAATTTCATTAAGTAACTCTTGATATGCTCGCTTTCATCTGGAGCCAGTTCATTCACAGATTGCAGATGATGACCAACACCAAAGATGGATTTCCATCCGGTAACCGGGTTCGTTCTCACAATGGGATGCTCAGCAGTCAGCGACTGGTCAACATTGTTGGGATGGCCTCTAGCGACCTGGTAGAGGTGAGTATGGTCAGGGTTAGGACTGTAGCCAACGGGAGAGAAAGTGCCGGTAAGAGTTTCCAGAAAGGCTCTCCATGGGGGACTAATGCGGTCGTAGACCTCATAGGCGCTGGCGAAAACTGTATCACCACCGGTTGAAGGGCGAACTTTGTTGACTAGAGTGGTGTAGTCGGATGTGATGCGCTCAAAGGCGATATCCGAGTGCCAGCCATCGGCAACGCTTTGTTTCTTCAACGTCTTCTTGCCGGCCACCACGCCACTCTGCTTGGAAAGCATGTTTTCTGGGTTGCGGGCAATTGTAGACATTTCCAGATCGGGCTTCTCGCCCTCTTTGTGGACGGTGTGGTTGCTGTGGGTGTTAATTTATGATATCATGGCTTGAATGGTGGGTACATACATGGGGTGGATATGAATAGTAGACTCATCAGGCTTGCCAGTCAATTGTCCAAGACGATGGGTGAAGGACTTTTGCTGGTCTGAAGTGAGGTTCTTCTGGTCCCGGAAGACGACAACGCCACGGTGAGAGACTGGGAGTAGTGAGTTTTCATTCTAATTTGGAGCTAGAGTTAACGGATGCTCACTGGTAACAGCTAGATCACGAAGGAGCTCATCCGCATTGGGAGCGTTAAGGACCTCGGCCAAATCAATGCCATTATACACTCTGCCGAGGATTCGAGTGAGGTCCTCATACTTCCAGTGGTCAATGGAAGTACCCAACGTAAGTGGAGCAGGGAAAGAAGTGACAAAGTCTTCGATAGGCATTTTGAGATAGGATGGAGTATGGAACACTGTAGATTCAACCGGAAGATGATGTGTAGAAGATAGAGAATATGATGAGATTATCTGAGAGTTTAGTGGGCCATCTGGGTGGCTTTTATATGTTTCCCGTCGCCCTGTGAATCACTAAGCAGTCTGCTCGAAACCCCCCGAAGAAGAAAAGAAAAGGAAATCAATCATCAGCTCGAGTTTACCCCACCTCAGGTAAGCGGAGGATGGCAATAGAGGGAGGATGGCGATAGAGGGGGGAAGTATGGCTTGTTTGGATATGGTTGGAACTAGACGTTGACGTTTCCTGCCTGCCTAAGGGACAGGATGAGACATTCTGCATAAAATCCTAGTGTCTGCAGGGGCTGGGATAGTAGTCGAGATATCCGCATTTATTGCATTTATTGCATACTCCTATATTCGGTTAGCGTTGAAAATGCAATCCAGGGATGTATGTCTCATCACAATACCAATATTGTAATAACGCCGTTACTGGCGACGCGCTCTTATATCCGATATCGGGAGATTCCAGATGACCGTCGTCAACCATCGACATTGGATTCCTCAGCAGACCATATAAGACTCTGCGCCGTGGAGCAACCAAATTGGATGAAGACTGCATCTTTATCTTCACTTTCAGCAATTGATTTTATCACTTTATTTCACTTACGCGGAACCCAAATTGATCTCTTTGATTATGGCTACCAGCACCACCAAAGGGTCCCCAGTCGTTGTGCATGATCAGACTAACCTGCTGCCCCGCACCCAACTCCTGGTTGTGTTTGGTACTCTCGCCATCGCGTTTCTTATCGCTTATGCAGATCAGAACGGAGTGGGTGTGGCCTTACCCACTATCGCACGGGAGCTGAATGCGCGAGATACAATCAGCTGGGCAGGTACTTCCTCTATGATTGCGAATACGGTGTTCCAGGTACTATACGGACGCCTGTCTGATATATTTGGCCGCAAGAAAGTGTATCTATCTGCGGTACTGCTACTTGCCATTGCGGACATTCTCTGCGCAACTGCCCAGACTGCATGGGCCTTCTACCTGTTTCGTGGTATAGCAGGTATTGCCACTGGTGGAATCAACTCCTTGACAATGATGATTGTATCCGATATCGTTACTTTACAGGAACGTGGCCGATACCAGGGTATCCTGGGCAGTTGTATCGGGCTAGGCAATACGATTGGTCCGTTTCTGTCATCTGCATTTGCGCAACACGCTACTTGGCGCGGGTTTTTCTATCTGATCAGCCCTCTAATGTTGCTCTGCGCTGTGGGTTCATTTTTCCTGCTGCCTTCCTCCATGCCCAAAGGGAATGGCCTTGCAAGAGCGAAATTGATCGACATTTGGGGCTTGGTATCCGGATCCATTGCAATCATCTGCATATTGATCCCCATTTCAGGTGGTGGGTCTTACTTCGCCTGGAACTCTACTCTCGTTATCGCTATGCTTGCCGTCGGTGGAGTGGCCACGATTGCATTCATCCTGGTGGAGTGGAAGGTTGCTAAGCTGCCAATGGTACCGTGTGAGTTTTACGCTATTCATGCTGCAAAGGCCTTTTCAGCAGCGCCGGAGAGCTAATTATATGTTCAGTATCGATGTTTCGCACCCCTGCCGTGACTGCCATTTTGGTGCAGAATCTCCTCTTCGGCTACTGCTATTATGCCGAGCTATATTTCCTACCGCTGTATTTTGAGAACGTGCGCGGGGTGACTCCACTGGTATCTGCAGCCCTCCTCGTACCATTGGTGATCTCACAGATGATATTCTCTGTTTGCTCCGGATTCTACATCTCACATTACTCACGATACGGGGAAGTGATCTGGTTTGGCTTCATCTGTTGGACAGTGTACGTGGCCCGAATCTTTTTTTTCTTTCTCCTCTGCTTACATGTAACATACAGTGGAGCAAGTGTACTTTGCACCTTGAAGCAAGACACTTCTCTAGGAGTGATCATCGTGGCCCTAATCATCCTCGGTGTTGGTGTTGGCAATGTATTCCAACCCTGCCTAATCGCCATCCAAGCACATTCACCGAAGGATCTCCGAGCTGTGATCATCTCTAATCGCAACTTCTTCCGTGCACTTGGCGGTGCCATCGGCTTGGCATGTTCCAGTCTAGTCCTTCAGACGTCCCTTGGCAAGGCACTCCCAGATGATCTTAGCTATCTCAGTAGGGACAGTTATGTGCTGCCCTCGCTCAGTGACTTCTCTACAGCGGATCAGAATTCCATCCGGGCCGCGTATGCCAAGGCCAGTCGCACTGTCTTTATCTCCATGGCACCTATCATGGGCTTCTGTCTGGTCATCTGTGTATTCATTCAAGACAAGGGGTTGCAGCGAAAGGATGAGACTGCGCCCCCGCAGCCTATACCGACTACGGCAGAGCCCACATCGAATGCGGAAAAGGGTGTCCTGAAAAATTGACCAAATAAAAGGACTTGTGAGGCTAGATAGATGGAGGGACAAAGGAGGGATCTCGGAAACGGCCGTATTCCCAATCGGGTTACCACCACAAGTATAGCCAAGAGGGCGCTATTTCTTATTCCCCCGGTGAAACATGCACGAGCGGCCCGCCACCCGTAAACACTAAAGTACATATCATTTTTTCCAAATTAATATCTCCACGCCGAAGGATTCTTCACGCCGAAGGATTCCTTTAGTGGGGTTGACGAACTGATCGGCGCATATTTTGGTAACACATGTAAATAATCATTCACTCTATTCTTGGGACCATGAAACACTATCCTACCAAAAATGAAGTCAAGCCAACTTCTCTGATATACATTGACCTAAAATGCTGTCTTCAGTTCGTTATATCAATGTTTTACTGTTGCCTGTTTATCTTGAACTTATAGAAATGATTGCAAAGATTGTAAACAGCAAAAAATAAATAAACATAGGCAGATAGGTAGATAGACAAGGGCCGCTCATTAAAGGATACAGCTCATGGCCCTTTACGTGCTAGGACCAAAGCACTACCCCATTCCACATCAACCTCGATGGCCTTCCAATCCACGCTGTTTTTGGATCCTTCTCCCCGTAATCCAGGCTCAGCCTCCCGAATAGCATCCATCATCCTATCAATCACATCGCCCTCACCACTTCCATCCTCTCCACGACGTTTCTGGTCCGGGAACTTCTGCTGCCACTTGTGGAATGAGCTCCAGGTGCGCATGTACTCCTCCATTGCACCTAGAGTCATACGGGCACTCATGAAGCGTGTGCCCTGACCACTGCCGATACCCTGCGTACTAGGTTCGTATTCAATGCGCGTGATATCACGCCATTCAGCAGCGGGGGGCACCACAGCTCGCAGCTTGTCCTGCACAATGCGTCGTCCAGGCTGCTGCCAGTAGCTTCCCAAGAGGGCAGGATCTTTCTGGTAGGCAAAGTGTTCGATGATCTCACTTGCTTTGGGATGCGACACCAAAACGTGGTCCTTGTACCCCCAAAAGGCCAACGTACCCCCGGGCTGCATAATGCGCGCTAGCTCGGGCCATAGCGTCGGGTAGTTGAACCAATGGGAAGCCTGGGCGGCAGTCACAAGGCTGACCCGTCGGTCGGACACAAATGGGGAAGACTCTGCTGCGGCTTGATGGTAGCTCACGTTGGGGTACGTTGTGGGGGGACACGTTGACAGTTCACGGGCTTGGGCGATCATTCCAGCTGAAGGATCGGTGCCGATCACTCGGCCAAAGTGAGGGGATAACTCGCGGGCTACCAGACCGTGCCCGGTGCCAAGATCTAAAGCCAGTGTACGCGCGGCATCTGGAGAGCCCTGGTGAAAAGACAGGACTGCTTTGTACAGTTCAGCCGGGTAGGTGGGTCGAAAAGCGGCGTAGCCTTTGTGGCCAAAGGACTTGCTCCTATTCCGAACTGATTAGGGCTGATACTTTCTCAAAGAACCCAAAGGATTCAACCAGGAGATACACAGGCCAAGCCGAGAATGGCAGACTCACAAGAAAGACGCCATGATTGTTATGCAATGGTTGGGTTTTGCTGTTGTTGTTGTTTTCCTTTTTGCTTTTTCCAGGCAGTAAAGGGGGGCCCAATTTGACAGGGAATTATTAATGAGGGGAGACCGGATGGCTGAGAAATTCAAACAGAAATGGGATGAGGAAAAACACAAGCGAATTACGGAGTGCTAGCCTGATCCTTCGCGCCGTCTACACGGATAGTTGGGTTACTTCCGTGTCCGAAGCTAGTCCGGGTTTACTGAGATCGACATCCTGACTCCTCACAAAAGGTTTCATTTCCAGCCCAGTTGCATTCAACAAGGGTAGATGGCATACTACTTAGTCGCCCGTACTCCGTACAAGGGACAGTACCATGTGGGTCCGTTGTACATAACGTTACGCTGACGCTGAAGAGTATTGATTGAGTTTTTTGCGGGATGTGCCGTGCCGTCCCGACCAGCCCTGCGGTGGAGATATCTCCGGACCGATAATAAGGCAGACTCATTTTTAAGTATGTGGAAACCAAGAGTTAATTAAACATCCGGTAACGGAATGTATGTAAAGAAACAAATACTCAAATATTATGATACGAGGCATGTCAGATCAGGGACACAATCGCATCATTGAGAAGAATTCCCAAAATTTATAAACGAAAAACCAAGTTTATTGGAAATCGACTTGATCTTCTCGCTATATATATAGCCCACATATTTTCTCGATAATACATCAAATCTTTGATTTACAACAATCTATCCGAATCAAATTGCTGATCATCTTATTCCAAGGTCAGCTGAGTATACGAGCCTAGGTATTCTTGTATATACTAATATGATTGAATAAAAGGTACGCGCTTGCACCAGGGCATCTTGGCCATTGAAATGCAAGTAGTATTTCTGCTTCTATCAAAACACTCCTCGCTCATTCTATAAAGTGCTTCCCCAGCACTCGATCATAAAAGGAATCCAAAAATGGCTACTATGAAACAGCCGATGCCCGGCAAGACCATCTCAATGGCACCAGGTACCACGGCCTTCTATGGTATGAATCCAAAAATCAACGTATAAGGAGTAGTGCTAAAGTCTAGCTTCCATATGCAGGCGCATTGGCAGGCATGATGGAGGCATTGGTCTGTCACCCACTGGGTAATTGAGTGTCCTTGACAAAATAATGTGCTCTGTACCAATTAATGCTGACGAACATCAGATACTATAAAAGTCAACATGCAAACCAAGAACACGACAGCGACCCTACTCTCACAGAAACCCGGAGGTATGAGAAGTCACATTTTTCATATTTCTAGCACAGTCGACTCTAACAGAACATGAGCGGCGTTTCAGACAAAACGTTGGTGAGAACAATACAATCAATATATCACCAGGCCCCAATGGCATTCTATCGCGGCCTTGGAGCAGTTCTTCTAGGGATCGTGCCTAAAATGGCTATTCGATTCACCAGTTTCGAAACATACAAGACTATCCTCAAAAGACCTGATGAGAAAGCTCTCACCTCAGGAAGGTTAATCCTTGGTAGGTTGCGCACAGGATCTTAAAATGAGAAAATAGTATCCTGATGTTGTTGTCAATTCAGCCGGTTTAGCTGCAGGAATTACAGAGGCAGTTCTTGTTGTAACTCCAACAGAGGTTCTCAAAATTCGCTTACAGACTACGAAGCCACGAGATGGTGTACGTGGTGCCGTGTCTGTGGGATACAGAAATACGCCAGAGGCGCTGTACACCATTGTACGGACAGAGGGTGTCAAGGTTTTATGGACGGGCATAGGATTAACAGCGGCTCGCCAAGGGACAAATCAAGCTGGTAAGTGTCAAATCTTGCTTTCTAAGTTACGCTGTTATAAGGGCATTTATTCTGATATTTGTGCATTTAGTGAATTTCTTCGCCTACACAAGAATCCGTCAGGCTCTGGTGGACAACCAGCCGCAGTACCATTCTTCTGGCCTACCATCCTGGCAGACTGGCTTGAATGGCTTTCTAGCCGGATCGCTTGGTCCTTTGGCCAATGCGCCAATTGACACCTTGAGTATGTTATTATCTACAATACATAAAAAGCATCGCTGATGATCCTTTAGAAACCCGGATTCAGAAAAGTGGCAACAGAGGAAATGAATCGGGGCTGTCTCGTCTCATTCACACGTTCCAGGATATTGTGCGTCATGATGGTTACAGGGCTCTATATAAAGGGATTTTACCTCGCGTGTTGCGAGTGGGTATTGGCCAGGCTGTTACCTTTAGCACATATGAGGCGTTGCGGCGATGGTTGTCATAGATACGGGCGTTGAACTCGAATTATTACACAAGTAGCCGACAACGTCTTGGCTCTAGGGAATAAGATGCTCTAGGGAATAAGATGGAAGAATTCTTATAATATTTAATGGATTCGTAAATTATATCAATTCCACCAATACGCTTCGCCCATAAAGAGTCCTTTGGACGATCTCAGGCGCTCTCGAACAAGCCGTATTGGTGAAATTACGTGTTTGAAGAGCAATTTAATCCTCGGATTGCGAATAGTGAGGCCAAGCCGTGGTGGATACGGATGAAACTATGTAGCGCAATTTTGGTATTGTAAGCAGCCCGAGGGTCCCGCTCTCGAGACCCGGTTCGGCCCGTTTGCAGATCATTTCTGGTCTGAACCTTGGATACAAAGTCCGTAGACTGAAGTCTGTCCTATTGGACACGATACCCCGTTATTTATTTCCATATGTTTCAACACGATACCCATTTCATCTGTACAGGAATACATTTCCATTTTTGGGTGAGCGTTAATCGGCGCTTACAATATCCGAGATCGGCAATTTCACTTCTCCCCCTTAATGCATTCCGAAGGTGTTCTGAATAAATATAAGTACTATGATATGAGGCTTCTCACACCAGCTCGCGTTACTAGCGATCATTTTCAGAAACACACAAGAACTGGGTCCCGCTTTACCATGGATTCTACATTGCAGCCTGGCGACAGCTTCCCGGACAATGTCGTATTCCAGCAAGATTCCCATCTCTCTACTTCTCATAGTTAAGCTCATGTGTATGCTAACAAGCGCTCCTTGATGGCAGATACATACCCTGGACAGAGGAAACGAGCTCTATAACCTCGTGTGGGGTTGCGATCCCTTACAATGCTTCGAAGGAATGGTCTGATAAAAAGGTCGTTTTGGTTTCTGTTCCTGGTATGTTCTTCTCCCACTTCCCGTTGTTTCTACGTTACATGTATGCAGAAAATTAATTGACCCATCTTCAATAGGCGCCTTTACCCGGACATGCTCCGGTCTTCACCTCCCCAATTACATTGAAAATCTTCCCGCACTTAAGAAAAAAGGTGTCGATTTGGTGGCGATTATTTCCTTCAACGATGCAAATGTTATGAGTGGCTGGGGGAAAGCAAATAATGTTACGAATAACGATATTGTATGGCTTCTGAGACTGGCAAATACTACTAGTACGCAGCTAACGCACTTGACGTCAGATATTCCTCTCTGATCCAAATGTCGGGTTCTCGAAGAGTATTAATTGGGCAGAACCATCGGGTCATCGGGGACTTCGTTATGCCATTGTCATCGACCATGGAAAGGTTATCTATGCACAGAAAGAGACCGAACGGGGCAATATCCAGGTAATATTTTCCGTGTCATTTCAGTCACTATTTCCGACATTGAGTATAGAGCTAATCCAAGCTGTCCTTTGTTTGCGCAGAACTCGGGAGCCGAATCCATTCTTCCATTTTTATAGATTCTATGGTTGTCTATTTTGTTGGCCCAGATTGATTTAAGGGGAAATGAGAGTATAAGGGCCTGATTTGTGACCCCATTGATCATACTCGAGAGTTGACTTGAGTTAACTACCTACACAGAGAATCTCCAAAGTTTTGAGTATACAAAGTTCATCTTTCCATTCCCATTATTGAAAAATAACGATCTGGCCAAAACGGGATCGTTGCCTTTAAACAATTATTACTTTAAAACCTAGGTTAAGACAACTTGCCTATACAAAGTCTAGGTACCATACATCGGAGGAGGGGTTGAAACTGATATTCTCAAACTCTAGGCCCAAGCCAGCCCTCTTGCAGAAAGCATTTTGTCAAGTTCCCAGACAGTTCATGTATTTCGACTTTAGTCTTGATTAATTGGTGAGCTTGAGAAGTACTTGCAGTATTCAGGCATCTTCAAGCATCAGTAAGCTTTAATATTACTACTAATAACTACAAAATTAGTTTTTGTAGAGTGAGAGTGGATTGATCAGTGACATAATCAACTTGTAGCCACCAAAATCAAAATCGGTGTGCTCGATGGCTTGCATCAAAAGAGAGAGGTGTCTTACTACTCTCTGGGTCATTCCGAACTCTAGTCTTTACGGTTTCTTTTCGTCGTTCAGTTGTTATTTTCCCACGTTCTTTGGTCGAATCTTGTCTATTTTGAGCTATTCTAAATCTGCAGCCCCGAGTATTATCAACGGCGTCGCCAGCAACTGGAGAAAGGTAGTGTCCTCTAGACAATAGTCGCTGTCGGTACTAGCAGACCATATTCATATTAGATTAAAGAAGTGCCTTTATCAAGAGCAATGATGAAGCTAGACAGGGATGTGCTAGATGGACTCCCCCTTCTTATGAGCTACTTTTTCCAGCCTGTGGTATCTCCGTCCCAATTTTTGTTGCACCATTCATTAGAAGAGGGTTCCATGAGGCCATAGCACGCTAGGTGCTTAGGACTGATCTTGATGTTTCCCCGGTCTTTAGATTCGTCGTCAAGGCCGTAGAAGTAACCGATAAAGTAACTGAAGAGAACGGAAGATGTTAGTCCACTTGTTTGACATAAAACACAACGTGTAAGAACATACAGTGTGCCTGTTTGACTATGCCAGACTAGCCTAGAGAGACTGGACGTATAAGGTGCATACCCTTTCTCGAGCGCCTGACTAAAGTTTGTCGTTAGCATGATCAGGAAACGGGAGGATCGACATACGGAAGAGCCTCCATAAAGGCCAAGCGGACATGTTCCCTCTCAACAGCGGACAGAGTCCAGTATGGATCGTCCCCAATCTTGTTACCGAGGCGTAAACCTGGGACCATTTCCCACGCCAGCCAGATCGCAAACCCATTTGGAACTAGCCCTGACTTATCTTGAGTGCTGACCTTGTATCCTAGGAGCTTTGGTACATTGCTGAAGTCCTCACGAGTAACCTTCTGGTAGGCAGTCAACTCTGGGGGTGTGTATGTTGTGGCCTGGCGGGATCTGGTCTTCGGATCTTGCATTTCCGTGTTCTTAATAGGAACCTGAAGATAAACCCGCATGAAGGCTTTCCTGGAGGCCTTCTTTGGGTCGCAACAGATCAGTTTAGCCGTAGCATAAGAGTAGTGGCCATGGCGACGACGCATTTCATCACTAGCCTGAAAGTCATGCTCATTGAGCTCCTCGAGGATCTTCCACTTCGAAAGGCCAGGTTGATCGAGGGTGATGATTGTGCCAGGGTCTGTCCCTTGGTGGAACCAGCGCGAATATGGGGACGACATTGTTGTAAGAAAGTTGAAGAATCACGAAGTTGAAGAAAAGAAATGTTTCTGGAAGAGTTCTGAGTTAGAGATGGTGAATGAATAAAGAGGTGAAAGGGAGAGTCAGAAAGTGACAGGAGAACCTAGGTGGGTATTACTGCCTAGACTTTAAGGTTGTAGCGGGTGGGATGGCACCTTATATCCTTCATTTGAAAGTCTTCTCCCTTCGTCACCCAAGCCACAGCTGAAACAGTCCAGCACAACACAGATATACAAGAAACCAACTATTAGCCATAGCAGCTATGCTCATCACCTTACTGATGCCCTAGGTGGCTGCTTTGGTCGTAATTCTGGTTCCCCGGTACGCTTCGATCTGTCGGCTTTGCTGAAGCGGGAGGCTAGGTATGCTCGAAGTAGTCCGACAAATCAGACAGGTCAAAGCCTACCAGAGGAGAGAGCACAAATCAACAGAAAAGCCGAGCTCCTATCGTGTCCCTTGGCACTGGCAGTGCCTCAGGCGCTGTCGATAGGCACTCCTATCGAGCAAGGATAAAACGGGAGAAACCCAGGCGTGGTATTCGAACAGGCTCTTGATGCTGTGTACAGACCAGGTACTGTTTTAACGGTCAACAACGTAGACTTCCTTTTGTCCTCTGCTTCCTCTATCCAGGAAAAGGTGAGCCAAGTCAATCGTCCACTGCCCACTCTCAGGCTCAAAGCTCGGTGTTTTACAGTAGACCGGAGCCTCGAAGACATCAATGACAACTATTGATCGAAGCTCTCACTAATTATGAAAACCGATTTTGACGTGACGTGTCGACGATCCTCAGAAATGCATTGATCATGAGAACGAGGAGATTACAAGTCGGTTGCTGGTAATGGTGCTTAGCCTGTGACTACGGCGCATATTGAGTTCAGTGATGAATCGAATGCTTGAGTGCGCCGAACTGCTCAGCGGTCTTGTATTGGGAAAATATGTTGCTACGGATGTGAGCAGAGGTCAAATACACGGGTTACAGGTGCGTAGTATGTAGATGGATATTTTTTGCATCTCTTTTACTTAAATTCTACAAGGGTGAACATTATTTTCCACGCCGTCGAGCTCTGACTGAGGGTCACTCCATTCAGACCGGTCTCAATAGAGAGATAATGATTGATCAATATTGCAAATTTGCTGTATGAAAGAATCTAGCCTCTCGAGATAATCTCTCTGTCCACCTCTGCGTCCGCGTGCCAGTACTCATACCAAAATCCTAATTTGCTAGGGCCAGGTGCCCAACATGGAAAAGGCTCTGGCAAAGGGACACATGCTGGTCCGTGATATTCTCTACCGCGCTGTGAAGGATTGCAGGAGAATACTCTAGCCCCCATTCCCGACCGACATCGACCTTTCGAAGGAATATTGTTTGGTTGTACGTTGTCATAAACCCATACTTGAGATGCATGTGAAACATTTATTCCGCAATTTGGCCTATATATGTGTGAGCACGAGAATCAAACATGGTGGCGTAAATCTGACCTAGTTGGCGTCGAAAGAGTCTCTCATTGCGACCACCCTCAAAGCTCACAAGTGCATTATGTAGGTCATGCTCATATACCCAGTCTGTCTTGGCTTCTCCCACGACCTTGGCTTCGTCCGAACTAGCGGCCTACTTTACTTGCATCGCTTGCCCCGCGGGCATTTAATGCGGCTACAAACTACCATCCTATCTCATTCCGGCGCTGTTCACGTCTCCCCTTGCGGTTCTTCGTAGGCTTCACTCTCCTCGTCTGACATCTCCACCACGGTTTGTTCCACTTCGGGTTCGTGGGTGGTTTTGCGCTTCTTGTTCGGGGAGTTTCCTTCTCCGGTGGGGGGAGTGGACTGTTTTGGACGGCCAAGGGAGACGGTGCAGGCGGTTCGGATGCTGACAAAGGGAAGGTTGTTCATAACAAAATCGGGTTGTCACAAGTAGCCACGATACGGCGGCAGGGCACCCTGGGAGTCTCCCAGCACAAGGTCCAGCTGCTGGGAACGAAAAGCGGCGCCCAAAACTAGTCCGGCTCGCCCTTCTAGCCTACCTTGCACTCCTCGTTCGTTGGAGACAAAGACCTGCTCCTCGTCGATAGAGCCGGCGGCCTGTCATCCGGGAGTCGAGAATATTGCAGGCTTCATGTTTGGGCATTAAAGGTGTTCATGACATCCAACTCGAAGTTTGCCCATGGTTGTAGAACTCCAACGAAATGAACGCGGTACAAGGGGGCTGATATTGAGATCGGGGAGGGGCTAGAGTAAGAGGTCTCGTGAGGTGAAAGCAAGGTGAAAGTGAGGTAAAAGTGAGGTAAAAGCGGCGGTGGTGGCTATGGTGTTGGTGTTGGTGGTGGTAGTTTTGCGATCCTAGTGCGTTGATGAGAAGTGAGCCACGCGTTGAATGGATAAAGGGCAGTATCCGAGGTAAGAACATAAGAGAGGTGATCTTTGGAATGATGGTAGAGTTAATCAAGAGGTAATGCGCTACGTGATCAAGAATTGAGTGCTTAGTGGTGTTAACGTGTCTCGTATTTACGTGAGGACGACGTCTCTTTCGCTACGATCAGGTCGTCGTCAGCTGAGTATTCACCGAGCCTATGGCCCTCTCAACACAAATTAACCAGATCATAAGAAAATACCTTAACTTTGCTTGATTTCTAAGTGGCCATATTATCTTGTAGGGCTTGTATCTCCGCTCTTGGTGACTAAAAGCTCTATCTTGCTAAAGGGGCTACTTTGCTTTTCCGCCTAGAATATATGGTTGCTTTGACCTATTGTAAGGCCTCTACTAGAGGCGCAATTGAGAAGCAATTTCAGCATCTAACTATAGCCCATTTAGTGGCCAGTTTCACTTGTTAGGTTAGGAGGATAGTCATGGTTGAGCTTTAGCTGTGAACTTCGCGAGTCTATGGAGGATAGATAGATATATTCACATTTGACCGTCCTAGGTATGCTAATAAGATGGTATTGTCTTATTTTAATTGTCCCTTTACTCCCTTAGACAATATCCCATATAGTAGTCAAGCAAGTAAAGCAAGTATTACTAAGGCAGCTTTACCTGTATGGACGCCTCGAAGTAGGTATACATCATCTCGACCTACTCATGCGAGACATAGCTAATCAACCCGGCAGCGGGATATCGCATCTTAAGGCGGCCATACATCCAGTGGTACCTTCGAAGCTGGTGGCCCCCGAGCCAGAGAGACCGGTCAAGGGGTGGCCAGGCTTCTAGTGGAAGCTTTCCTCCTGGAGATCCGCGTGTTAGAGAGGCTGGACATAACGGTGGCTTGTCTGGGCCTGAGGCCTAAACTTTTGAATGGGGTCTTTTCGATAATCACCCCCATTCTGCCTGAACAGTGGCTAGCAATACAAAGACTGCACTCGAGTCTCCTAGTCTCCCCGAGACTGTAGATCTTGGGGAGGACCAGTAGTTGTAAAAAGACGAGTATTTTCATACGACTCATCTTCCTCATAGATGAATGCCAGAACGGAATAAAGTATATATAAAATACAGCCATTAATCAGCTAATTTGTGTATTTGTGTATAGAAATGGGCTTTTGATGGGCTTTGACGGGCGCCTATTAATAGGCTGTGGGTTAAGTTGGCTTTGGAGACTGAGCCCATAGCCCACTACGGGTTGGGCTGGGGGCTGGGGGCTGGGGGCTTGGGCCCATTTGTGGGCTATTGGGAGGTCTAGTCTTGACAGCCCCGGATCTCGACCATGTCGATTCTCGACTTCCACCTTCTCGCCAAGTGTTCAGTCTCAGCTCACCTCCAGAGACGAGCAGCAGCCAGGGGTCAACGGATATCTCTATGCACTGAGAACTGAGCATGCCCTCCCCATTGACCGTGACGTCCGTCCAATCGACCGTCCTCAATATCATCCTCAACATCCTAGCGCAGCCCCTCGACCAGCGCAAGAACACCGTACCTTCAACCGACGATATCGTGCTCGAGGATTTCCCAGTCCCGATACCAACTATCGCCAGCTTTTCCTCGGTGACAACAAGCAGCAGAGCTTGCTGATCTCATATAATTCGGAAGATAGTCACAGTATCGCCGAATTCGATATACATTTGACAAGCCAGCGCGTTTGATCGGTCTACCAAAGGCTGTTTTGTACATGTCTTGCGGGACAGTGATGACTTCACAGTGATTGTCATTCTGCGCAAGAAGGACCACGATGGAAACGTCTTGATGCATCTCAATTTCCAGTCACGTCCATCAGGGACATCCTAGAGGCTAAACAGGCGAGCCTCAAGGTAATATAGCCGGCTCGGAAGAGAAAACCCGTTATCTAACTAGTTATTCATATCGTAATAAATTATGCAAGCAATTTTGACGGCCTCAGGAGTCTCCCAGAGCTGAAACCCGCCGAAGTACCGGCCATGTGCAAACACGATACCGTAATTGGCTGGCATCCTGGAATCCGATATCCCCAGCGACCGCGACATTGACTCATGAAAACTTCTTGGCAGTGAAAGCCTCAGCTTCCTACTGGGTAGACATAGGTAGGTATTGGTGGGCTCACTTGGTACAACATGAGCATTACAAACAGGAGCAAGAGTTTGGAGAACGATTTTTTCATTGAGCAGCCATCTATTACGGCAGTTGCTCAAATAGAGATAGTGAACAGGATTTCCGGCAGCCTCCAACTACAAAATTGTCTACGGCGACAACATATCGGCACTACTATCGCAGGTCATATGAAGGGCATCTGTAATCTTTCACAAGTTAGCAATTGTTCGCAAATTGAGGAGTCAAAAGTCCAAGTCAAAAGCAAGTGTGAAGGTAAAGGCATGGCGTCATCAAAAAATTAGAGTGTTGTTGTTGCATTGTTTTAATCTTCAGAGCGCCCCGGAGGGGGGCGTAAATGCTCGGGGTTAAAAATTTATAATCATCCGCCAGGTTGATGTGAGGTGGTGTGGGCAAAGGGGGGAAGAAAAAGGGGGAAATAATTGAAAACTCACCAATTCTGTGGAAACGAACAATGGGCGTAGCTACGTCCATCATACGAGTCCTAGGTTTCCGAGGGAAATCCATTGCCAAGACATGTTGTTTCATTCCCGGTCGCTATTTCAAGCGCCGGTTCAAGTAAATCTAATACATGGCATTCGCATCCCGTCGAGGAAGCGCTTAGTCGAAGAGACCGAAGCCCATGTCCTCATCGGACTCCTCATCATCCTCAGCGGGAGCTGCGGCGGCAGGGGCGTCACCGCCGGAGGTGGCGGCGGCGGCGACAGGGGCAGCAGAGGCGTACGCATCGGGGTTAGCGATGCGGTCCTTGAGTTCATCGATCTCAGCCCAGCTGTAGTCGGTGCTGATGGCGGCAGCGAGGACCTTCTTGTATCCGTTGATGAGGGAGTGCATAACGGAGGGAAGGGTGGGGTAGTTGGCAGCCAGGGAGACAGCGGTGACGGTGGAGATAGCCTGGGAGAAGGCGGCCAAGAGCTGCTCATCGGTGATGTCGAGAACATCGGCGCCGAAGCACTGACCGTTCTCGTAGACCTGGGTGATGGCCATACCGTAGGTGAACGGAGAGATGTTCAGCAGGTTAAGGAGGGTAGCCTCGGAGGCACCGACCTTGTTGCCAGCCTCAATGAGCTTGAGGTCGGAAACAATCTCAATGGTACCACGAGCAATCTTGGTGGGGACACCGAGAGCCTGGAAGAAGGCGGTCTTACCGGGCTCCATACCAGTGTTACCACCGGGGATCCAGACATCATCGGGGGCGAAGGCACCGGCACGAGCGGGAGCAGCGACACGGTTGGCAAGGATCTTCTCCTTGGTGGCCTTGAGGTCACCGTTGGTGAAGATGAAACCAACGTTGCCACGAACGTGGGGAAGGAGACGCTCCCACTCGGGGTTCTCAGCGATGAAACCCTTAAGGGCACGACGAACCATGGTGTTCTTACCCATCAGGACGACGGCCTCTCCACGGAGGGAGATACGGATCTCGTGCATCTGCTGAGAGCTGACATTGTCAACTCCGACGATGAAGATGGTGCTGTACTCATTGAGACTGTAATATTAAGGAAAAAAATTGTTAGAAATTTGGAATCGTGTCAATTGCGAGACGACGTTGAGGGGAAACTAACAGAGCACGCAGCTTCTCGAAGTAAGCGGTCTTGGTTGCGGACTTGCCCCCCATTTCTTCTTGATTTCAGTGAAGATAGGTTGTTTAAGGGAAAGTCTGTTGTTGTTGTGGTGAATGGAAGAGAAGAAAAGAAGAGCTTGCCGATTTCGGGAAAATCAATTTTGGTGGTGCGCTCGCTAGTGGGTCACGTGACGTAAAACTAGACCCGCCCAAGATGGACAGAGATGGCTGGAATTCGATCAAAGGGATCTTGGGAGCTCCTACTTCTACTATTTGTTGTCCTATTGGCTACAATTAGTACGCAGTTGGCACATTTGTGAGCTCATTAATTGTTCCCATTCTGTGGATCAAAGCACTTCATCATGGCCGGTCTCCAACACCCGTTCCATTGTCTGCGATATGTCAACAGGCAGTCAGTGGGCCAATCGGATATCCTTATTGCCACTGCTGGTCGCAATCTCTACTCTTACGATGCATCCAGTGGTCAGCGCCTGGATGTGTGGCCTCAACCCGTAGACGCCAATGTGGAGGGTAACGCGGAGGATAAAAGCTCTGACGCAGCTCCCGCATCTGAAAGCCAAGGCCCGCCAGAAAAGCGAAGGAAGCTGTCTTCGACCTCCGAGGAACAGAAGGATGGCAAACCTGGGCCAAACCCTAAGGATTCGAACAAAGAAGCTTCCAACTCCTGGACCAACATTCCTCTCGTGACTGTTGCCCACAGCAAATATGTAGTGATCATGACCTCCGAGGACAAATGTGTTCGAGTCCTGAGTTTGGACAACGAAGGCAAACTCCAGCAATTGAGTGCTCGGTGAGTGACTATTTTTTTTCTTCTATATGCAAGCTCGCCAAACTCATCATTTATAGTACAATGCCCAAGAAGCTCTCTGCGCTTACTCTAACTCCCGATGAGAGCAACATCTTGACGGGCGACAAATTCGGAGATGTGTACACTTTCCCACTAATTCCGAGCGGAGAATACGTGAAGGTCCAGGCCCCAGCGAAAGCATATGAGCCATCTGCCACAAATCTCACAGTGCACACAAAACGCAACCTTGAATCATTGGAGCAACAAATGCGACAGGCCGCTCTGTCGAAGACCAACCAAGCAGAACGAGTTGTGCTGAACTTTGAGCATCAAGTCATTATCGGGCACGTTTCGTTGTTGACCGAATTGATCTCCGTTACCCGACCTGCGGACTCCACCGTTGGCAAGCGGAATTACATCCTGACTGCGGATCGTGATGAGCACATCCGTATCTCTCGTGGTGTTCCCCAAGCGCATGTAATTGAGCAGTTCTGCTTTGGCCACACTTCGTTTGTTAGCAGTCTGTGCGTCCCTTCATTCGAACCCAAGGTTCTCGTCTCGGGTGGTGGCGACAACTACCTGCTTGTGTGGGACTGGCTCAAGAATCAGATCTTACAGAAAGTTCCGCTTCCTGGGACGGAAGGAGAGACTACGGTGCGCGGCATTTGGGATGTTTCTCTTGAGGCTACCGCAGACAATGCCGATCCTATGAAGGCTATATTTGTTGCACTTGAAGGGTACGTTCCAATAACAGATAATATTTATAATTCTCCTAACATTGAGAGCAGGTCTTCACAACTTCTTTACTTCACTCTTGAAAGCGACAACACGATAACTCAGCAAGGTACCCTCCAGCTGTCAGGAAACGTTCTTGAACTGGTTGGACTTGATTCAAGAGGCTCTATCCTTGTTGCTGTGGATACTTTGCGGCAATCCGATTCAACAAGTGCCTGGAAGTCGTCGTCCCAGCCTCCTCTTGAAGTGTTCCACCTCAGTTCTGGAAAGTGGGCTCCTGTAGAGGACTCCATGGTCATCAAAATCAACTCCGAAGGCACCTCAACTCTCGCTGCGACAATAGAGGAGAAACAGCAGAAAGAGCTCAATGACTCGATGTACAATTTGGGCAACCTGCGCAAGAGAGGTGACCACGACGAATAAAAGCATGCTTTTCATGAATGTACAGCAAATGATCAATTAGGATTTCGAATACATATATAATGCAACAGTTTCCATTATAATTCGTCGAAGTAAAAATAGCATAGACGTGAAATTCACATCCACCTGATTAAAATATATATTTCTGAAAATCTTCCCGCTCTATCCGTTTTAACCGCCTCTTCATCTCATTTGACCCCTACTACGAAGAAAGGAAATATATCAAATATCAAACAGACTCAAGTCGAGGAATAGAAGAAAGTCCCTTGGGAACTATTCGAAATGGATACCGAAGCCGGGGATATAATCGTTGCTTTATCTACGGAGCACCATGGGAGGCCCCTGACGGGCTGAGACATTGTTAATTCATCACGGTAGAATAGATCTGCTGACGATCCCCTATGAATGATCCCATCCAATTGGACCCAGTTCATAGTTCTTAGTTAGACTTATGATGGTTAGAGGCAGACTAGAGCAGGTCTCGGAGGCACCGGCGACTCGGCGTTTGATTTACGGGGTAACTCTACCCAGGTAGGGCTACATATCATAACAACACGATGTTCTTGACCGATAAGTAAGATTCCTCGGGGAAAAGTCCTAGTAAATATAAAAGGGCGGATAGGCCAACGTCCAGTAGAACAAGTTGCTTAACATGAGGCAATGTGTGCTGGTGATGCCCATAGCTAAACACACAAATATTTTATCGATTTGACAACTCAAATCCCAGGTATATCCTAATTGACACGAAACTACCTAGTATCGCAAAATAACAATAATAATAATAATAACAAGAAACCTCGAGAAGAAAAGGCGAGTTTATAAACGTACGGGTACAAAGGGTTGCTACTGTATTTTCCGATAATCACGGGCCGCGGCACCCGGAGAACCTTGTTATAATCCCACTTCTTCCCCTCCATCCCACTTACATATTCTACCAACACAATGCAGGAACAATTTGAGCCTTTGAAGAACGACTTGCTGCTGAGGGCTGCACGGGGTATGTTTACTCTGTGTTTGGTGTTTTAATCGGAGCTGACAATCGCAGGTGAGAAGGTGGAGCGTCCACCGATATGGGTTATGCGACAGGGTGAGTTAGACTTATTCATGCACCACTTCCCCAAAAATAAATAATTGATTGACATTTTTTTCTTTATCAAACAGCTGGTCGATACCTTCCCGAATACCATGAGGCGAAGGCTGGCCGTGACTTCTTCGAGTGCTGCCGCACACCCGAAATCGCATCGACCTTGACCCTCCAGCCCATTGAGCGTTATGAAGGCCTCATTGACGCCGCAATTATCTTCTCCGATATCCTAGTTATCCCTCAGGCCATGGGAATGGTCGTAGAGATGCTCGACAAGAAGGGCCCTCATTTCCCTGAGCCGCTCGACTCCCCGACAGACGGACAGTACGAGAAGGTGATGGCGAAGAAGGTGGATGTGAAAACAGAGCTGGACTATGTCTATAAGGCACTTACTCTCACACGATTCAAGCTGAAGGGCCGGGTGCCCTTGATCGGCTTCTGTGGTGCGCCATGGACGCTACTTTGCTACATGGTGGAAGGCGGTGGCAGCAAGTTCTTCGTGCAGGCCAAGAAATGGATCTACAAGTATCCTGCTGAGGCACAGGCTCTTCTGCAGAAGATTGCTGAGATCTGTGTGGAATACCTCGCGCTCCAGGTCGCTGCCGGAGCCCAGCTGGTGCAAGTATTCGACTCATGGGCCGGCGAGCTGTCTCCCGCCTCGTTCAAGTCGTTCTCGCTTCCTTATCTGCGCCACATCTCTGCCAACCTGCCCAAGCGACTGAAGGAGATGGGACTGGAGCCCGTTCCCATGACCGTTTTCGCCAAGGGTGCCTGGTACGCTCTGGACGATCTTTGCGATTCGGGGTACAATGTTGTCGGCTTGGACTGGCTCCACGATGCTGGCGAGGCCATGCGCATTGCCAATGGCCGTGTCACTATCCAGGGTAATGCCGATCCTGGCATGCTCTACGGTGGTCCCCCGGCCATTACGGCCACCCTTGAGCCTATGGTTGAGGGTTTCAAGAAGGGCAAGCAGGGATGGATCTGCAACTTGGGCCACGGTTAGTCGAACCTTACGCTTCGGGCTGCATATCATTTAACTAATTGCCTCTCAACATAGGTGTCACTCCATTCGTCGACCCTGAGAACCTCAAATTCTTCTTTGAAGAAATCCACCGCTTGACCGTATAATTGCGTTGAACCTTTAAAGCACTTGGTTTCTTCCCCCGACCCAGATTAAAAGAGTACATTGGATCTAAAAACACATCTTTCAGGCGTGAATATTTTCAATTCTCGGGGTATTTAGGGCTATGGTATATGCAGGCCTTATGAAATTTAGACAGCGATATCCTCGTTCCTGTATAGCAGACAGTACAGTTAGTATTGATGATCATGAAACAGCCAACAATCCTCGATGCAACTGCGAGGAGACCGAGAGCCGCTTTACGCATTGCGATAGACCAAGCATCAAACACAACATACCATAGCCCAGGCTTCTCCTTGATGAAGTTGGTCATAAATTCCTTGCACTCGGCATTGTCCAAGACAACAACCTCCTTGCCCTTGTTGAGCAGAAGCTCCTCACCACCCACGAAGTTCTTGTTCTCACCAATGACAACCCGCTTCACCTTGTAGAGGATACAAGCACCGGTACACATATCACAGGGCGAGAGGGTGGTGTACATAGTAGCACCCTCGTAAGCGGAGGCAGGAAGACGGCCGGAGTTTTCGAGGGCGGACATCTCGGCCTTGGGTATGTTAGCAGTAGTTCATGGATGCTGAATGCTAATGGATATAGATATAGATATAGATCGATTGATTATCAATTGGAGTATATCACGTTATACTGACATGCAAGATAGCACTTCCCTTCTGGACACGCATGTTGTGACCACGGCCAAGGATCTTTCCATCCTTTGAGACCAGGACAGCACCGATTGGTACACCTCCCTCAGAGAGGCCCTGCTTCGCCTCTTCGACGGCAGCAATGAATCCGGGATCCTGCTCCATTTTTGCAGAGTATAATAGTTGAGCTAGGTGTGGGCTACGGAGTAGAGAGGGGGCAAGATACGGAGTACGGAAAATATAACTACTTCTCCAAGTTGGAATCGGAGACTTCCGAACCCCTCTATGACGATGGAACTGAGTGGACCGTGAAGAGCTTTTTTTCCCCCTCCTCGCCTCTTTGCTTATCGATAAGAGAGATATGTGGCTGGAGAGTGGCTGTCAGTGGCGAGGGTTCAAAATTTCTGCGTTGTAAGTTACTGGTACATTTACAGGGATGGTATGCAAGATACAATAAGCAAAAAAACCCATATACAACCCTTCTATGATAAGCCAATAAATCACTATATTAACTGCCATTTAGAGAATGATCTTATTCTACGCATATCTCTAGACATACAGCTGGGGCACCTGATGGGCGAATTCTACGTTAGTCAGCAGTAATAAAAACAAAGATCGAAGCGCGGAGAAAACTTGCGAAGGCCATCGAAAGCCACAGAATCCCGTAGAATCAGCGCTCGGGCCAATTCAGGATGTACATAGAAGCCACCAGAAGAAGTTGAAAGTGAAGAATCGCCGGTATTGTCGAGCAATTTATCGATTCTGGATTGAAAAATTAACCAAATCTGCTTCAAAGCAAGACAAAGAAAACTAGTGTAAAATCATCAATCCTTAGTTGCCCTGGTAATTTATTGGGTAACTTTACGAGCCCCATACAGGTGCCTGAGTAAAAAAGTTACTCAGCCTATTTTTTTTTTGGCTTCGATTATTATTGTTCAGATAACCATCTCGCCCTTTCTCTCCCCCTCCACTTTCTCATCACTCCAGCTAGGACTTCAAATACCAATCGTTGTCCATTTGGCTTTTCTCATATAAAAGCCGTCTCAAAAGGTTTTCGGCGCCTTCATCTCTCACCACTTCATATCTGGATTCCACGGGAATACCTAATATTGATATTCTTTTAACATCGCCTCTTGATTCCCCGCATACTTCACAATGGTTAAGGAAACGAAGTTCTACGACACCCTCGGGGTATGTTTAATCGATACTTGGCTGGTTCTGAGACCTGTTTGATTTCGTGCTTTGAAACCTGACTTGGTGTTTCTTTCATTTAGGTCGCTCCCACTGCCACCGAGGCTCAGCTTAAGACTGCCTATAAGAAGGGTGCTCTCAAGTACCACCCTGGTATGTGACAATCCCGGAGACTCCGAATAGCATATATGGAAACACTCAGCTGACATCCCTTTGTGATATGTAGACAAGAACACCAACAACCCCGATGCCGCAGAGAAGTTTAAGGAGCTGTCCCACGCATACGAGACTCTTTCCGACCCCGAGAAGCGTCAGCTATATGATCAGCTCGGTGAAGAAGGCCTGGAGCACGGCGGTGGTGGCGGCGGCATGAACGCCGAGGATTTGTTCTCTCAATTCTTCGGCGGCGGCGGCGGCGGCCCCTTCGGTGGAATGTTCGGCGGTGGCATGCGTGACCAAGGCCCGAAGAAGGCCCGCACAATCCACCACGTACACAAGGTTAACCTCGAGGATATCTATAAGGGTAAGGTATCCAAGTTGGCTCTCCAGAAGTCCGTCATCTGCGGTGGCTGTGATGGCCGCGGTGGAAAGGAAGGCGCTGTTAAGGAGTGTGCGGGCTGCAACGGTAGCGGTATGAAGACTATGATGCGCCAGATGGGTCCCATGATCCAGCGCTTCCAGACTGTCTGCCCCGACTGTAACGGCGAGGGAGAGATCGTCCGTGATAAGGATCGCTGCAAGAAGTGTGCCGGCAAGAAGACCGTCGTTGAGCGTAAGGTTCTTCACGTTCACGTCGACAAAGGTGTGCGCGACGGCCACAAAATTGAGTTCCGCGGCGAGGGTGACCAGATGCCTGGTGTCATGCCCGGTGATGTCGTGTTCGAGATTGAGCAGAAGCCCCACGCCCGCTTCCAGCGCAAGGGTGACGACCTGTTTTACCAGGCCGAGATCGACCTGCTTACCGCTCTTGCCGGCGGTGCCATTCACATTGAGCACCTCGATGATCGGTGGATGACCGTCAACATCGCCCCTGGCGAGGTTATCGTTCCTGGTATGTGACTTGCCTTTTTTGTTCCCCGAACAAGCCTCGTGAAATTTGTTACTAACAATTCTCTTTAGATGCCATCAAGGTTCTCCACGGCCAGGGTATGCCCTCGTTCCGCCACCACGACCACGGCAACCTGTACATCAAGTTCGACGTCAAGTTCCCCCAGAAGGAGGAGCTCCAGAATCTGGAACTCCTTGAGAAGGTCCTTCCTCCTCGCTCCGAGAAGGTTGTTCCCCCGACCGACGCCATGGTCGAGGATTTCGAGCTTGAGGACCCCGAGAACGAGCACGACCAGGCCCGCGCGCACGGTGCGGCCGCGGCCGGTATGGACGAGGATGATGATGACGTGCCCGGCGGTGCCGAGCGGGTGCAGTGCGCTTCGCAGTAAAAGGATTTTAGCAATTTCCATGCCGTAAATGGGGGTTGATGCTAGGCCAATGATGAAGACTTCGCTTATGATACCATGTGAAGGAGGCCCTCTCCTTAACCCCGATTTGACGCGGGGAACCTGTTTGTTTTCTTTTATGCTTTGCAATGGCGTTTCCTCCGAAGACCTGGAAGATATCATTTTCTCTTTTCTCTTTGTCTTCTCGGCTTCCATTTCCCAATTTCTCCTGTAATCCTCTTTCGAATCCCTTCTCGCCTTGTCCAATTTATTTTTCTCTTTTGCATACACGTTTCGGGTCCTTGATCCTTGCTTTTCCATTGCGTTTTCACTTTTGTCGCCCATTTTATGTTTTCCATGGGAACCGGGGTTTGTGTGGTGGAGTTGCGCTGACGATGGGAAAGAGTTATGAATCGAAGATGGATGAGACGAGACCACGATTGCGGACCCGACTCTTGCCAACGGATCTCAAAGATCTATGTTGCCCATGCTGGCTTTGTCGTAGGACGAAGCTGAGGGACGAGGGTCGTGGCGTAATCATAATGGATTCGTGCTTTTTTTTTGTTAGCCTGCACTCTGATGATGACCTTTGAATAGACATTGTATGTTTTCGTTCCAATGCATTTGCTCATCCTATGGATGGTTTGTTTGATATGAGACGTGTTATTGGTAGTCGCACGTGTAGTTGTAAGCTGAAGAGTAAGGAGGTGGGAGTGCGACGGGATAGCTTCCTTGGAAGTCCTCAAGGTCCTCTGTACTATTGTGGGACTGACTTCCAAGGTCGTCTTGTGAAATTCAGTGGTAGATATGTTGACCAATGTACAATCGGTATACGAAAGAGTGTTTCGTTCGTGGATGGCTACATCGCAGTTTGGTGTGGGCTATTGAGGCAAAAACAGAAACATACTATACGTTTGTGGTTTGACGCGACAATTCATTCTTACCTCCGCAATAATATCAATGAGAGACTCGTTATTCAACTAGAAATGTCCGCAAGCGCATTTGCATTAAGCAGGAGAATATGAAAAACCGTAGTTAACTAGTTAAGTGCCAATCTGCAGCACCCACCTGATTTGCTTGTCTCATATCTCATCTTATATATTATTCACTCTGATTGCATAGAGTCGAATATCAAACATTTTGCACAATACCCCATTTCTAGTGTTATTTTATATCCCTACCCCCTTTTTACCTGTCATTTTCCATGAACAACAATGAGACCCAGAAGGGAAACCCGGGGCAAGCGTTGGTGTACGCTAAACTTCCCACTCAAGGCTGTAAGACTTTTAGATGCAGATCATCTCATCGAATTCAATGAACCGCCACAGAAAGGTACGTGTGTTGCAAAGGCCAAAATACCTCGAGACACCCACCTCACCTCAAAACAGGCCCCTACTCGAAGTCGATCTCGAAACTGTAACCCTGAACCACATCGTGCCAGCCTTCAAACGTCTTCCGCCCAGCAGGAATCGTACTTGCAGCTCCATGGGTATCTAAGCGACCTACCCAAGGTCGCTGTCAAGTATGACACAGAAAGAGTTGGACAGGAACTGCAGGAACTACCGGAACTACACCGCAAAGTGCTTTCCAACTACGCAGCCAAGGCCCTTGGCTGTGTTTTCTTCCTCGGCTCTCGCATTAACCTCTCGTGCGTTCCAAATGTCAACTTCGTATATAACTAATTGCTCAAATAAGATACCTTCCATGTCATTCGCGCCATCATGGCTGGCGAGGAGCTTACAGTCATGTATATTGATGGAATAAACCGTCCCCAAAGCTAGCGTCAGGCCGAGCTGGACAAATGGGGATTCCAGTGTACCTTTTCTCGGCAATGTGGGATACTGCTCAAGGCAGACAGAGAGACAAAAGCGGGCTGAATTGTACATTCTTGATTAAGGACTCGTGAAGGCACGTTTTCATACAGAGGAGTCTTGCAGAAGGGGGTTGCAGATAGTACAGAGAATGGCAGCCATACAAAAGTCTGAAGGTTTGGTGAATAGACAACTTAGGATCTCGTGAGTGATCTCCTTGTTATGTAACCTCAGAAATATTCTGGTAACTAGTTTCTTTCGGTTACTACGATGTTGCTAGGTACTGTCTGAAATCGGAGGAGTATAAGATGGCCCTTTTGTGGACCTAGAAAGTGTTCCATGTTTACCTTTACTGTGTCGGAGAAGATCATCCCGAATACAAGAAAGTGTTTCTGATTGTGGAAGAGATGAGAAATGCAATATGTGGGTCAAAGCCAGTCTTCGAGAGCTCATGGAATGGTTCATGCGAGGTTGACTTGGGGAATCATGTATCGTTATGTGAATGTCGAGGTACTTGATCGAGCGACAGTGAATGCAAGAAGCCTCAACATATCGAACTTATCTGACTTGTTCGGGGAGGCGAGAGACTGTGTGGTGTGTTGGTAGTAAAACGACAGGGACGAGGAAGACTGAGGAAGGAGTCAATTTTCTGGAGAGAGAAGGCATCACAGAGGTAGCGGTACTAATGAGACATCTGTCGTGTCTAGCAGTATGTGTTTATCGTGACATTCGGCCTGGTCTCAACTTGCATAGAGTTGGATTTCTGTCTTAACGCAAATTCCGAGGTAACTGGAGAGTGGTAGGATAGAAACCTAGACGGCTCACCTGCCTCAATCAGATCAATATGATGAGTCTGTGGAGCAAAATCGATGAACAGGGATCTATATAGCTGGAAAAATGATATGGCTAGCGGATGACTAGCGATAAAATTGCTGCGGTCAGATCTCTCATACGGCCTGATATCAATAGTTCAGCTATATGTGGCAAATAAGATTTTGCTTATTGCCAAAGTACCTGCACCTTCCTGGATGCCGAGATCAATCACGCGATTGTGCTAGCACGCAAATAATACCGAGGACTTGGACCGGCACTAGACAATTCAACTCTATGTTGTACTTTGTATTGACTTCAAGCTAAGAAGAAGAAGAAAGGTCCGATCACATTATACTAGGGATTGTGTTGATTGCGAAAAATCAGTATTGCTCCTCTATGACCAAGTACGGAGTACTCTATACCCTGATCCTAAGCCGTGAAACCATACTCCGTATATATCTGCGCATTACGCGCCAGAGCCCCGAGCTCACCGGTATCGGAATGGGACATGACCATATGTTCTAAAACAAAGCTAGTCTCGTGTAATTAGTAACATGGCCGATGTCTTAGGTGCGACCTTTGCCGTAAGGGCCGGAGATCCTTCGGGGTAAATGCTGGAACTGGTGCTTTCTTTTTCCCGAGGGAGTTTGCATCCCATTTCATGATCATGCTAGCTCTTCGTCGAGGGCAGGGATTAGAAGTACTAGGTGAACAACTGCCCACCAAGGTCCAGGGATACTCCTTGCGATACAATACAGTCGGGCCTCTTGTTCGGGTTTCCCCACAAAGGTACCCCTGCATATACATTGTTGTACATGCACGCGAGGATCAGCGAGCACCCAGAACATCTCGTGGCATCAGTCACACAGGCACAAGAGATGGGATAGACGCTGTTCCACGGTGTGTTCCGGTAAAGATCTCCAAATCATACACGAGAACCCGTGTCCAGATGTCGGATAGGCGAAAAGGGGACTGGGAGGCCAAGAACACTGAATCCCGCGCGAGCTTAACGACGCTATGTTATATTGGCGGCAAGGGCGAGAAATGAATGCCCCCAAAAGGGCAATAATTTAACCACCTGAATCACTAGTCAATATAGAAGACAAGGTTCTCGTACCAAACAAGGCAAACGCCACCCCGTCTAGGCAAGACGAGGCTGAAACTGTAGAGCATCTCCGAGGAGGAGGACAATGTACGAATGTACTTCGTATAACTAGTTAGCGGAGATGCTTGTTCGCATGAGCACGGCTATGCAACCCTAACCAGCTGCAGATCCGAGCATGTCTTAGAGTCAGGTGCCTAAGACGAACGGCGCGAGCGCCACATTATTTCCTTTTTTGCTTCTTTCTATCGCGTATTTCTTCTCTTGTATGCGGCTATAACATCTAGTCTAGTAGCCAAGAGAACCCAGAAGTCTTGGATATGTTACCTATGTAACCTGAATAGCGGGAGGAATGTCCTGGGTGATAGATATGGTGGAAAGTGCCGAGGAATGCACTAGGAAGACTAGCAAGTGACTAAAGTGGAAGATGTAAATAGAGATAGCTGATACGTTTGTTGAAAAAGTTAAGAGTAGCAGGGGTAGCCTCGTGGCACCACCTTTGAAGTTAAAGGCGCAGCTCGACGGATGTAGGTAACACTGCTTTAGTACTTTGGTTCTTTAGAATATTCCGCTAGACGCTAAGGATAAAGCTCGATGACGTGATTTAGATCTTGATTGCACCTTTGCAGAGTGGACGAAAATGATGCAGGGGACAGGGGGAAAAGACATGCATATTCGAAGCTCCATTCAAGTCTAAGTATGGAGTATATGGCTTACCTCTTGGCCGTTGGAGCGATGCTATAACCAAAAAAAAAAAAAAAAAAGGCAACTACAACTACAACATACTCGTATGGAGTACTGGATTGAGATCTTAGAGCGTAGCCAAGATAGTAACAAGGTCGATCACCTCATAGATGTGGCTATGTTAAAAAGCAAGTGTCTACTGAGCCAAATGTTTAATTTAAATATGAATGGATTATTCCGTAACGGGACCACGCGGCAGATGATCAATATATAACTTCGATCCCGAGGTGTGGAGCTATGGGCATATACGGAGTACACTTATAGATACTAATATAGATACTATTATATACTATTATAGATTCTCTTTAACTATGAGTTATAAAAAGAATGAAGCTTTAGAATTATGTAAACACCTGGAATAAAGTTAATCAGTTCAGAAGATTCTTGAAACAATCCAATCCAGTCCAATCCAGTCAAGTCCATCTAAACCATCCAAACGTGGAAACTCCCTTTCACCATCTCACCTCCAGATTGCGTGTTCTAAAAGGTCCGTGATTGGTCTTGTGGTCTCCACTGGTTGATCTTTTTTGGGGCAAATCTCATCAAAACACATTGTGATTGGTCAACCACACTTCTTGGCATTGGGACGGCTCCTGCAGCCTCCTGCAGGCTCCTTGGCAGTGTGGTCCCGCAATTTAGTCAAACGTTCATCTTTATCAAATTGAACCGATTGACATGGACACTATCAAATGAATTAGATGAGAAAAATATCATAAAAACAAGGAATAATTTAATAGTTAATCATATTGTAGGTGTGACAATGCTGACAATACTAATTAAATTATATTCCCATCTTCCAAGGTTATGTCGACCATGGGCCCCATGTTAAAAAAATAAAAACGGATATACTCCACGACTCCGTCGTCATTCTTCCAGACCGAGTGGGACCTGCCGGTTTACGCTCTTCAACTGATCAACTCGGATCGTCAGTGGACCCGCGTGTGAAATCCCTGGGTTTTTTAACAACGTGGGATCGCTTTCCAAACCAGTTTTGCTTTTTCCTTTATTTTACTTCGAGGAGCACTTGGTACAAGTCTAGCCCTCGTATAAAAAAAAACTCCCTTGCCTGAATTCGATTGAATTCGACTCAAGCGAGCTAAGCGGAATTTTCCTCCCAGAATCTTAATTTGAATCTGGGGAGCTTAGATATTGCGCCATTTGTGATCGAATCACGCATCCAATCTGGGAACATTCTTTGCCCTTTTTTTTTTTTTTTTTTTTCTTTATTGGTCGCGCCATGCAAAGTGCTTGATCGTCTGATTTTGACATTCTTTTTATATCCCCGATCATCACCACATTTTGGGGAGAACTCCATCTTTCCAAAGCTTCCCGTCAACACACATCGTCCCTGTGGTGAAGCTTCGTTCAACCCCGGCTTTTGATATTCTCAACACCGGTCTGTACAAGCATATTTCATCATGTTCGGAAATTCGGGTGAGGCCAATTCCAGTATTGGCCACTCCCTGGCCAAGGTCCTTGGTATCAAGCTCGCCTACAGAGATCCTCTGGGTGCTACCGGGGAGACCGTTACAAGAGGAGAATCGGAATTTTCCATGGGCACCGTCGACACATGCTCATACAACGAGCCCGAGCCGACAAGTGTCGATTGGATTCGCGAAATCACCCCGTCCGGGAGACAACTGGGCAGATATCTGATCAGTCTATTCCCTTTCCTCACATGGATTGGCAACTACAACCTAACATGGCTGTACGGTGACTTGGTTGCCGGTATCACCGTGGGAGCGGTCGTTGTGCCACAGGGTATGGCCTATGCTAACCTGGCTGAACTGGAGGTGCAGTACGGTCTGTACTCCTCGTTCATGGGAGTTTTGATCTACTGGTTCTTTGCCACGTCAAAGGATATCACCATTGGGGTGAGTGATACTGCGACCGGTTGAAAATCAAAATATTGTCACTGACCTCATCTCATAGCCCGTGGCCGTCATGTCAACTCTTACCGGAACTATTGTGATTAAAGTCCACGAGGAGTACCCGGGTTACCCTTCCCATTTGATTGCATCCGCTCTTGCTATCATTTGCGGTGGTATTGTTCTAGTGCTGGGTCTCCTTCGCCTTGGATTTATCGTCGATTTCATCTCTCTCCCCGCTATTTCCGCCTTCATGACCGGATCGGCTATCAACATTTGCGCGGGACAAGTTTCGACTATGTTGGGCGAGACCGCCAAATTTAGTACGCGCGGTGCCACCTACA